AGAGGTCATAAAGAGCATATTTCAACTAGGATTTTACAAAAATAATATCATAAATCGAGAGGACGACAAAAAGTTGATATGCCTGCCCTCCTGATAACTGAGCGAGAAATTGCGATCGTTGCTAAGAAAATGGAATATTAAGGTAAGAACAAAAGAAAAGACAACATTCTTCACAAGCCTGCCGACGCAATACGATAAGATTGACAAACTAGATTGCTCGGAAGTTTATAGCATTTAATTCGGCAATGGTGAGCAGAAGTATATTGGTGAAATAGGAAGAAAAATTAGCCTAGAAATCAAGGAGCACCAAAGACTCCGCAGAAACATGGGATGAAATCACAGAAGCAGGCAGATAAGGTAAGGATCCTACGGAGCAAAAGGGGACTCTGATAGGAACCGAAGAGAGAGGATTGCAGATCAAGCCGCAGCCTTGGATCAACACTCCCGGTACAGTGTAAGAGATGAGGAAACAGATGGGGAATGTGAATAGGTTGCAAATAGCTCTACAAGGAGAGATACCACAACAACTTAGCAGACAATAGGTCAAAGGATCGACTTCACTTGTCCCTTCGACGAGTTGCATTGTGGTGCTAAAACTGGCAATAATCACTGACGATGCCGATTACGATGTCGGCGAAATGTCTGGGATTGTACTAAGTTCACGGTCCGACTCTGGAAACTATCATGCATACTATGGACTCCGGACGAAGTGCGTTCCTAAACGTCTTCTTGCCAAGATGGACAAGTTACTAAAACAAAATCAGATAACTTATAATATCATAATTAATTGCTATTTCCTCATGGTACTTTTCTATAAAACATGCAGAAGTTTATATTACGCCCACAGAACGGCCAGAATTTTCACTCATCTCGGCTTAGTAGGTGATTAAGTAGCCGATGAGGCCAGCTGTTGGGATGCTGAGAGCCGTCTTTCCGAACAATGTGCTCTCTTCGCCATGCGAAAGATCGTTTTGACGGAAACTTGGCTTGCTGAAGTTGGTCCAAACCCATCTTAAGGCAGGCTGCGTTTGCTGGATTGCAGTTGGAGTTCCATTTGTCGTTAAAAGGCCATCATGACAGCAAAGAATATCGTATAGGGCACATTGTAGACATTAAAACATGAGTCGCCCTTTGACGAAACCAGGAGCAAAAGTCGGCAGTACAGACGTCTCAAGAGTGTGCAAAGAAAAGTTGGATTTTAAACAATCTCTTGTTTCATAATTGTTCAACTTACTCCCATTTCAAGTGAAAGTGTTTGGTAAAGAGATTCGTAGGCCGATCCTATCAGAAAACGACGGCGGATTCCTCTTGACCAGCTGTCGATAGGCTTTACTGGATCATTCGTATTGACGCTCTATCCGAGTTAATCTCCTTCGATTCGGTGAAAACGTGTTAAGCTTTCTTCCATCATGTAACGAACATCATCAGAGCAGGTTACTATTCTTATAACCATATTCAAGCTAACGAGTCAAGAAAACTCATCATCATCAAGAAAACTGTCATACGACAGAAAAAAGCTTAGCAGGTTTTCACCGTACTCGAAGAGAATTGCCTCGGAAATAGTGTCAACAATAAGGTCTGTTAAGGAACCAAACGCCAGCTGGCCAAGAGCAATCCGCCGTCGTCTTCTGTAGGGAACAACGTCAGAATCTCTTCACCAAACACCTTCACTCGAAATGGAAGTAAGTCCCAAGAGTGGCCAGTAGGTTAGTGAAGCAGAATAGCCATCCTATAATGAAGTTGCAAATGGGACATTATAATGTGGCATCTCAATTCCTAAACCAAAAAAGGTCTCATGGTTTTGGTGAATTGTTCGTCTATGGTGCTTTCTAGCATCGCATGACAGAAGGAAAAATCAGGCCTGTGGAAACTGAGGTCTTATTTGCACAATTCAACAGTCAAAAAT